CCATTCAAGCATCATCTCAAGCGCTACCTTACAAGGAAGTGCACTTCGATGGTCCGCAAAGACAAACACCCGGACACTCCATGCCTACTTGTCCTCCGCTTCTTGCTGCTCATCCGAGCCCTCCTGCTCAGTGTATCCATACGCAATAACGGCGGCAATTCCACACAGCGCAGTGATGATGCAACCAGTGAGCGCTCCCACAGCTTTCGGAGTCCAGCCGGTGACGAGGTAAGTAGGTTCGGCTTGCAGTCCTTCAAAGTCCGTAGTGGAGTTGAGACCCGCCGCGTTGCCGGTGGGCGAGATGCCTTGCGATTGACATTGCTGTCCGAACACCACCGGGGTGGAGAGCGTCTGTTGCGCCTGAAGAGGCGCTTCCAGAAGTAATGTGGACAGACCTTGATTCATGTGCCACTCGATGTGGCCTACCGAAAGGCATCGCGAGGTTCGTTGGTGTCAGCCATAGTAGCTTCAGATCGGCCGAGGAAACCCGCTACGTCCAACTCACAGTGCAAGAACCAGGCCCCAGGGTTGTCCGCACGGAATCGAATTGTAGCACTTCCGGTGCTGTGAATAGTGATGGTATCGCGGCGCATTGGGTTTACCTGAGTCTCATTGAACGGTGGGTTGAGGGCGGGGTCATCGCTGGTAACATCGATCGCCTTGTGGACGACTTGAAAGTTGTGTCCGTGAAGATGAAAAGGATGTGTACCTGCATCCCAATTGTAAATGGTCACCTGCACCATGTCCATATGATTGAAGATCGTCGCCCCCGTGTTGGGTCCGTAGACTGCCGCATCTGCGGACAACGAACCCATCGATGTCAATGTGGACAGGGAGGGAGTGTTGGGGTTGATGAAGCTGATGTTGTTGAAGCTCGCATACGGCTTGCCGTCGCTGTACGTGTTGAAGCTGACGTGCAGGTCGTGCGATGCATCCGCTTTGGACATGCCTTCGACGGCGGAGGGAACCAGGACGGTATCGTCGAAGTACTTGTACTCGTCCAGGGTGGGCCGTTCAGAGCCCATCTCCTGTCCCGATGCATACGACAATGTCGCTGTGACATCTGCATTGGTGTCGCACACGAGCGTGCGTCAGCATTGCGATTATCACGAGATTGGCAAGTGTGCAAGCAACGCGCGCTGACTCACTGAGCTGTAGGTCGTCTGGCACAACGTCGTACATGTCTGGATCGAGGTTGGCATGGATCGGCCAGTTCTTTGAGGTGTCCGGTCGAGCTGTGATCAGAATCGAGTATCGCTGTGCGACGCTGATAGTGATGACGTCCACTGGCAACTCCTCTGTGTCGACGCCATCGGCTTCGATGATGCGCATATCGTGGCCCTCGATCCAAAAGTGATACATGGACAGAGCTGACATGTTGATGAGCCGCAAGCGGTACGTCTTCCCAGGCACGAAAGGCAACGTGGCGTTCTCGTTGAATCCCGCCAAGTAGCTTGCGCTGGTCGCGTTGCTCGTGTGGGCAAAG